ATCTTTGTTGGTATGTGGTGCTGAGGATTGAACCCGGGCCGCACGCATGCCAGGCGAGCGCGCTACCGCTTGAGCCACATCCCCAGCCCACAGTTTAATCTTTTACAGTAAAAGATTTTTAAAATAAAACATTGAAGTTGGATCTTTCTCCAACTATGTCCCTCCTCCCTCTGTTGATTATCCTCAAGTTGGTATTCTATTTTATACTTTTAATATAGTTGTGATCATAAATAATTCTGCATATATTTATGTTATAGAGATTTTGATAATATTTGAAGTTTAGATTAATATAAGGAAAACTAGTGGAAGGAGTATGTAAAAGATCAATTTAAGGGATCTAAAACATTGTTCCTTTTTATTGAAATGTGGGAACTAATTAATGGAAGAGGGGGAGAGAATAAAAGGGTTGCTAAAACAGTGGTTTTCAACATTCTTCCTGCATTGGAATGACCTGGGGAGCTTTTAAAATATACCCATTCTGGGTTCAGAGATTAAAATGTAATTGCTCTGGGAAGGCGCCTAGGCAGTGGTATAATTTAATTTAACTTTTTTGGTACCAGGGATTGAACCCAGGGATGTTCTATCACTGAGTCACATCCCCAGCAGTTTTTTCTTATTTTGAGACAGGTTCTCATTAGGTTCTTGCTAGTTGCTGAGGCTGGCTTTGAACCTGCAATCCTTCTGCCTCAGCTTCCCAAACAGCTGGGATTATAGGCATATGCCACTATGCCTGGAAGCAGTGATATATTTTAAAGTTCCCCAGGTGGTTCCTTTCAAAGCCAAGGTTGAAAACCACTGTTCTAAGAATCTAGGCCTGTGTAGTCCAATTCAGAAGCCACTAGCCTCCTGTGGTTATTTAAATGAAGGAAAAATAAAGATTTGAGTTCCTTACTGGCAGTCGGCACATTTCAAGTGTAATGTACTGTAATTAGTGGCTACAGTCTTAGTGCTGGAGAGTGCAGGGGTAAAACCAAATAGAAAAATCACAATCTATGATACTCTTCCTTTCATTTTCTTTTCTGCCAATATAGGACAGATAAGAGTATTCATTGGGTGCTTAGTATAGGCTAAAGCATCTTGCTAGGAAATTTATATGAGTAATCATAGTTAATCCTTACCAAAAGCCATTGATGAATACATTATTTCCATTTTAAGCAAAGTGAGTGGGGCTCAGAAATTAAATGATCATCTCAATTTACACAGCAAGCATGCACACAAACCATGCTTCAAACTGACACTAAAGAACCTACCTAGTTTTATTATCAGCATTCCTATAGTGTGCTCCTCATGAGTTCTAAAAACATACAGTTGAATACAATTGGCTCTAAAAAGGAATAAAGTTCTGACAGATACAATATGAACTTTGAAAATATTTTGTTAAGCCAGACACATTGCACAACGTAATCCCAAGAACTCAGGAGGCTGAGGCAGGAGGATCAAAAGTTGGAAGCAATCTAGTGAGACACAGTCTCAAAAATGAAAAAAACATAAGGCAAGGTGGGGGAACTGGTAGGGTGGTAGGGTGTTTCTGTGTTCAAGTCCCACTAATTCTCTTTTTAAAAATTCTAGTTGGACATGGTGGGGCAATTTAGGAGGCACTAAACAAATCAGTGAGACCCTGTCCCGAAATAAAAAATAAAAAGAGTTGGGGATGTGTCTCAGTAATTAAGTGCCCCTGGGTTCAATCCCCAGTACCAAAAAGTAAAAATAAAGAAATTTTAAAAGTCCAGACACCTCAAAAAGGACAAATATTTTATTACTTCACTACATGAAATAATCCAAAATAGGCAAATTCATAGAATCAGAAAGTAGAATATAGGTTACTAGGACTGAGGAAAAAGATGAAATGGAAACTTATTATTAATGGGTACAGACTTCAGAGTGATAGAAAACTTCTTTTGGATGGAAAACTTCTGGAAAAAAGATAATACTGACAGTAGAACAACATTGTTGAATGTAAAAAACACTGAGTGGCATATTTTATGTATCTTTTACCACAATTAAAAATTTTTAATTACAAAAGGATTTTTATCAAATAAGTCTGGCAAACACTGGATTAAGCAGGTTTCTTTAAATTTTATGATCCCACAGAAACTTACTTTACTATGTTACCACTTTGTTCCAAATAGAATGGACTGTCTTGGGACTAGTTGAGTGTAGGGCCAGGCAAAAGCAAGGCTTTTGTAGGAAGAACAAGAACTTAAAAAGGAAAAGGGAAACAAAGGCAGGAGAAGAGTTGGCTAGATCACACATCATTATAAGTTACTTTGATTTAACTATTTTTTTTGGGGGGGGGGGCCAGTTTCTAGGGATTGAACTCAGGGACACTCAACTACTGAGCCACATCCCCAGCCCTATTTTGTACTTTAGAGACAGCATCTTACTGAATTGGTAGCACCTTCCTTTTGCTGAGACTGACTTTGAACTTGCAATCATCCTGCCTCAACCTCCTGAGCCACTGGGATTGTATCTTTTTTAAACTTGTAAAATGGGGCTGGGATGTGGCTCAAGCGGTAGCATGCTTGCCTGGCACGTGTGCGGCCCAGGTTCGATCCTCTGCACCACATACAAACAAGGATGTTGTGTCCGCCGAAAACTAAAAAATAAATATTAGAAAAAGATTCTCTCTCTCTCTCTTAAAAAAAAAATAAACTTGTAAAATACCACAAGTACAGATTTGACAAAATTGCATGCTGGGAGACTTCTACTTGGGCCTTGAAGGCACTCAGGATTCATGAATTTAGGTCATGTCAAAATGACTGATGATGTATTTTAAGATTCAGAACAGAACTGCCTAGCAGCCTAGCACATAGGTTTCTAGGATTGTGTATTTATTGATTTAGCATTCTGAATTTATTTTTTGTAGTGCTGAGGATTCAACCCCTGGCTTTGCATATACTAAGCAAATGCTCTACCACTCAGCCAGCCCAGCAGTCAGAATTTTTATGTGCAGGTGAGGGCCATTGTTGTCATTACCACTTATGTAGTTATCGGCTTCCCTAATAAAATAAAATTTAAAAAAAAGAAAAAGAAAGAAAAAGCTTGGTGAGAACATATTAAAAAATATAAGCTTTTTTTTTTTTTTTTTT